AAGTCTTCAAGCTGCAGAGCACTATCATTTAAGAAGAAAAGCACAATAACATCTTACTATATTCAATGGAAAGCCCTATGTAACAATCCTCTCTTCTTCTTTCCATGTTTTCTAGAAATGACGACATTGATATACACACTTACCAGACTCATGCTCAGAAGTTATCCCTGATAAATAAAAATAGGAGAATATAGAGAAGAAAATACCTGCTTTTTTTGTGTGTACCTTTTGGGATATTGCAGCTCGATGTATGAACTGCCCTAGCAAGGAAATAGCTAGAGAGGAAAAATAAGGACCCCCATGAAATTATCCTTCAGACACCAAATTTCAAACTTTCCTGTAATGTGCTAACACCAGTTCATAAACAAAAGCTTTGGGTGGTTTCTTATAGCCATATTCACAAAACAGAATTGATCACAGTGCACCACTGTTGTCAGGATTGAAGGCTTTTGGATAGCACAAAGCAGTTCAAACATTATCATGGGCTGTCATCATATTCACAAACAACCCCAAATGTTCTGTCTTCCCCTCACATTCCCTCCCCTACATCCTGAGGAATATTTTCTCTGAACTCAATCATTAATTCATTTTTTAATTAATATAATTTAATACATTAATAATTTTAATGAGAGAGAAATGAGCCAGGCAGTTTTTAAAACAATTAAAAACAATGTGTGTAGCTGATTTTTATCCCCCCCCCCCCCGTGATTTGATTAAAATAAATGGAAAATTAAAGCATGGGAACTTGACTAACCCCGAATGTGCCCCCCTCACCCCATGGGCATTTTTCACCCTGATTTATGTCTGAGGAGTAGAGCATGGCAGCCAGCATGGTGTAGTAGCTTGCATGTTTGACCATGACCAAGGTTGACCAGGGGCCTTATCTCACAAGGGAAAGAAAGAGTGGGGAATAGTCTTATTAGTGTGGCATTCACCATCCTTCTCTTTCCAAAGGAAACTTAGAATTTAACAATAGTTCCACTCACACCTTAACATACTCGGTTTTAGCTGTTTCAATGTGCTGGGAGAGCAGTGAAGTCAATTCCTCCTTGACTTCACAATTCTATATGCTACCCATTTCTATACACTTTAAAGACAAAATCCTTTGGGCAACCACTGAAAGCAGTCCTGCATTACTTGATGGGCTCCATGGGACTCCATCTTTAAAATGAATAGAAATAAGGGGGACATTGTGTCTGATGAAGTCATAGGACCATAACCACCACTTAGCCCTGGGAAAATTATCTCTCCCAATCTCAAAGGGAAGCAGTGGCAAACTTCTTTTGATTTAATCAGGCCAGGAAAAGCCTATGATAGGATTGCCATAAGTGAAAATGAACTTGAAGGCACATAATAACCACAAGAACAAAAACAATTAAGTAGGTCATGGAAAAACACTTCAGTTTCCATTTCGCTTCAAACCTACTAAAGCTATATGATATTTAAGTGGTGATCTTGGAAGTCAGCTGCTGACCATACCCACAAAAAGAAGCCAGTTGACTATTTCCCTACTACCTATATAGCTACTATAAACAAAGGATCTGTGTGCACTGTTACAGCACAAATATTTCACTTTTAACTGCCATGCCAATGTCCCGTGCAATCCCAGGGTTTGTGCTTTAGAAAGACATTGGAGATCTCTCGTTGGGAATTCTAAATACTCTGCTAAACTGCATATGCTAGGATTTTATAGAGAGTTTCTATTAAAGTGGAATCATAGTTTTGTAACTGTATACTGTGAAAGGAGCCACTGATTTCAAAAAAAGCAGTAACCCATGTGTTCCAAAAGTTAAATGTATCCCCATATGTTGACTGCATTTTCAAACCCAACTCATTATAGCTTTAGGGTTGCATGCATTTGTAGAGCCTTTGTTATTCTAGATGTATTAGAAATGTTATTGGATTATTATTTTTTATTTTATATTACTATTACATTTTATACCATTTTCTGATTGCATATTAAATTGTAAATTAAATTGTGATGTTGAAAAATAAAAGTATGTTGTAGAGCAGAAAAAGTCAGAACAGAAAAAATGAGCAGGGAACATTCTGACAGATAACCAGATTAAGTGGATTATTAATTAGCAATTCAAAGCTATTGAGGCAGCAAGTAAAACCCTAGCAACAAGAGGTCAACACACTTCAATGCAAGGTTAACCTGGCAATGAGAGATCTGAACCACTTCTTTTCAAAGGATGTGTGTTGACTTGAATTTGTTTGGGAATATAATCCTTTTACATTAAGCATTTTTCATTTCTCCTGATCATTTGCTTTTCATGGATGCTTTGATCAGAAAGTGAAAGAGAAGTCTTATTTTTGACAGAATAAAATTTGAGATTCTCTGAATTTTCCATGCCTGTAACACTTGAGTTCATTTTATGTTGGGTTCTGACCTTTTGTCTGTTTACACTGAGGAGGAATCAAGTATTTCTACATAGCATTCTGCATTGTATGGAAAACATTAATCTCTTTATTCTTAAATTTAATGCCCAACACACAGAAAACAAAATTCATCTCAGTATAGCAGACATGGAATGAATCACCAATGCCTTTTTGCTGAGAACTCAGGCATACTGGCAAACATCCTGCTTTTTGTTACCATGAGGTTGTGATTCTTGTCCTCAGCCATTAAATTTAGGGGGAAGGGTATAATTCTATGGTACGGAAACCCAGAAGGTTATAACCATATGTATAGAGAAACTGATTTTTTCATAAAATTTTATAATTTTTTCATAAAATGTATCATAGTGTCCAAGAACAACATTCACCCAGTTACTTGATGACACGAAATATCATGAAGTAACTGGGTACAAAATAAGCTGCTAGTCATAGTGACTAGCAGCATATTTTGAAGGGTCTCAGTGTTAATGGAAGTCTATGTCTACCCAATTTATTGAGAGAAGGAACACAAGCGGATGGTATATGTGAGTCAGGAAAAAAAAGACTGAAACTGACAAAGCAAGTGCAGTGATGTGGCAAAAGGGATTTGTGTGTTTAGTTTGGTTTTCAAAGGCACAATGGAAGGCTCCACTTACGGGAAAATGTGGCAAATCAGGAAGGAAGGAAGCAAGCAAAACAGACAGTGTTTTTTTAAAAAAGTGAACTCAACATTTAAAATGAATTCAGCAAATGAGACATTTGGTGGTGGAGGAGTTGTGGGTTGTTATATAATACAGCAAAGCCAAGTGGAGATGCGACAGCAGGCTTGTTGAACTGGTGACCCATCATACTAAACAACCCATCTGCTATATGCTACATTTTGTAACAATCTTGACTACCTCCATGTTTTTAACTTTTTTAGCTGGGAAACAAAATATAGCAGGTTCATCCTAGATGTTTATTTAATTTAAATCCCACCTTTCTTCTTTTATGAGATTCAATATGGTTTTACAGTGTACAGTTTAAGAGAATAGGTTAAATGCAACCAGACATTGAAACATAAACTATCATATTAAAAACACTGCCGAATTTAATAAGTTTAAAGAGATTTAAAATTTAGCAGATAAAGGAAGTACAACACTACCATAAAATCCTTCTATGGGAAACAGTTAATGGCCAAAGTCTATCTAAATAAAAAGTTATTTGCTTTCCCCCAAAATGAATGAAAAAAAGACTAACCTAGCTTTTTGTGGAGTTAAACAGAATAGAAATGGTGATTAAGAATGCTCAATAAATGTTCCTGTGATGGGTGGTGGACCTTACAGAAGCAATTCCCTAATGATACCCAGTAAAGTTTTCTGCTCAGCAAACTTAATTCCTGTGCACAAACTGCAATTTTTGAGGAGTGAAAATGTGCATTTTCCATACAGAATAAATCCAAAACTCTGAAGATTTCCATTTCTCCAGAATCTACCTCACTAGGCTTCACAACACCAGAAAACTTTTTGTCATGTGCAATGCAATCATTTGCACATATTTTCTATCACTAGGAGGCTTATATGAGGAGATAGGATCTTCCAGAGAGTCTGAGCCCAAACCATGTCATATTTCTACAGTTATAACCAGAAGTTTGAATTGTGTCCAGAGATGGGCTAGTACTCCCCCCCCACCAAAAAAAAAGAAAAAAAGAAAAAAAGAAAAAAAGAAAAAAAGAAAGACAAAACAAAAAAAAAATAACATGCTTCCTGAAACCTGCACCCATGAACAGATTGGCCACAACATTTTTGGATATTTTCCAGTTTTCAAGTTTCAAGACAGTGTTTTATAGTAATCAACATAGGATGTAATTATTAGGCTTGGGCGATCAAGAAAAAACATGGTTCTAAACTCGTTTTGTATATAGGGGGTGCTGGCGATTCAATTTTAAAATGATTTCTGATATTTTCTTGAAAAAAGATCGGAAATAGCAGGAAATCCGAATCGCTTTGTTTGCTTCGTTAATGGAAGGTGCCCCTCCCTTCTTCCAGAACCATTAAGTAARTTTGACAAAGTCAGCCTAAYCAGTTTCCCTTCCCTGGTGGRGAGCTGCCATGTAGAGGGACGAGGTGGGCYTGGCTAACCACAGCTATCCTTGAAGGCCACYCCCCCAGTGACCTTCAAGGAGAGCTGTGCTTAGCCATGCCCACCTCATCCCTCTGCATGGCAGCTTGCTGCTAGGGAAGGGAAACTGCAAGATTTTAAGCAGTTTTAAAATCTCGTGGTTTTCCTTCCCTGGCGGTGATGAAGAGGGATGAGGTGGGCCTGGCTAAGTGACAGCTCTTCCTGAAGGCCACTGGGGGCGTGGCCTTCAGGAAGAGCTGTTCATAGTCACYCCCACCTCGTCCCTCTTCAGCGCCATGTTTACCSCCAGCCGGGGAAGGGAAACCGCGAGATTTTAAAACTAACAGGGAAGGGAAACTGTGAGATTTTAAAATGTGGCCTTCAAGAATGGAAACCGCGAGGCTTTGCCAAAGTTGCTTAATTGTTCTAAAAATCAAAATAACTGTGGGAGACATCCGAAAATAATTCKGAACAATGGGTAAGTGGTTTAAATTCGGAATTACTCCTCCCATTATTCTRGC